TTTTTTTTTTTCTTTTTGCTTGCCCATCAAATATTAATATGTTTTCGATAGAGAATTATTTAGGTGAGAAAAAAAAGTTCAGTTCTTTCAATTTTTTCTTTTTTGCTTTGTTTAAACTTCCTCTTAAATTATAACTTTAAAAGTAAAAAATAAAAAGCGCTCAAACAAAAAAACATTATAGCACCCCAGTAACCGCCCAGCACTTCGTCGCTTCCCTTCTTCCTAGCCTCCCCTCTATAAGACGATAAATCATATAAGCATCTATTAAAGGTAACGAAATGAATAGTAACAGAATGAACTTAAAGCTATAATGTTCTAGAAATCAAAAAAATAAGTGTATGGCTGAAAAAGAAAATTAGATTTTCCTATTTATAAACCGACTAAAAAAAACAATCATTCACTGCCTAATTGTCTAGCTTCACGAGCTTAACCAGCTAAAAGACTGGTAACCTTTTCTTGCAAAAGACCATCGCCATATTCGTTCAACAACCATTTCCAAAACACTAACAGAGATATACGCTAAGCCATAATTGTCACATGCGGATAATTGCAGATTTATTTGCTGACTGATACTCATAGTCCTTATTATCACCCAATCTTTACCTTTTCATCCTGTTATCTCTTCAAACGTCTACACAGCTCTTCTGTTTTTTTTTCCTTTCACCTTTTCGACTTATTTTTAAAACATAGATATAGAAAAAAAACTGTTGCTGCAGTTGCCAGCAGCCTCAACAAAATCTAAACAAATTGATCGCAAAGACTATAAGTATGAGACCGTAAAGTAAAAAAGAAAAAGTTGCTTAGACGAAGTAAAAAAACAAACTGTTAATAAAAATTTTCCGACTTTTAGACAACAGACTAGACTTGAAAGAAAAAAAAATTGTCAGAATTTTTTTCATAACTATGAGCATAAAATTCAGGAGAAAACGGTTTAAAATTAGCTAAACTTCTTCTAAGTATATAGAGAAAAAGAATACAATTTTTTTTTTGCTGTTGTTGTCCGTCGTTCGATAGAAGTCTGAAATAGCAAAATTAGTAATTAAACAGGTATCATAATAATGTCTTGCTACGATTTTTCCAATAGCTCAGGATAACAGCAGCAACCGGAATATGCGGTGACACAGTAATCGGTGAAAAAATTGGCAAGCGAGTAAACAGATATAAAAGAAACAGATAAGAATGAATAGTAGTGAGCTTAGACTAAGCTTTCTTCTAAGATGGAAACATTACGCGTTGATAGATAAAAAAAGCGAAAAAGAAAAGAACAAAAGTGAATCACTAAGTGGTTAAGCAAGTTTATAAAATCATCAAAATTAAATAATTAATATGCCAAGAAGCATATAAGGTTTTTCTTGCAATTACCACTGCTTACTTTTTGCTTGCCCCATACTTTTGCTTGTTTGATTTTAGTACCCGAAAAATCAGTGTTAGTGCATTTTCTTCTTTTTGTTTTTTGTTCAACATTGACTTAGAAGTCTGAGTCAAAAAAAAGCAGTTAGAAAGTAGACGATTAAAATTGTAAGACGAAAAGGAAAAGAATAACTAAGAAGAATAAAAAGTTTTTGTTAGCAAATAATGTCGCCGTTTAAAAATAAATGAATTGAATGACAAATATGTAAAGCGACCAACAGAAAAAGAAAAAGTAGAAGAAAAAAAAAGAATTGAAAAAAAAAAGACAAAACAAACTGCTGAGACTATAAAATTACTGGAATTGCGTGTGGATTTTTTGTTCTTATCCCGTGTATTTTTGCTTCAGAGACGCCAGCACTCGGGCCAAAAGAACAGAATAAAAAGTAGAAGCAAAACGTTGGAACACAACACTTCCTTAATTCAGTTACCAAATGAGAGATATTGCGGGGGAACCTTTTATGCTGTTTGTTTCATGTCCTTTACAACACTGAACGATATCCTTTCTTCATAAATTTTCAGGTTTTAAATAAATCTAACAGCAGCAGCAACAACAGCAACACTTCAAACAAAATTGACATCACTAAAAATTAGTGATACATAAAATCAACTTTTAAAATTGGCATTTTTTAAATGCTTTTTTCACCCTTTTTTTTTCTGGAACACTTTAAGTTGCTTGTAGTTGGGAAACGAAGGATAAGGAGAAAAGTGCAGAAGAGAAGAAGAAAAAAGACAGAAAAGCTGAGTGCAAAAAAAGGGGAAGAAAAAATAGCTTACAGAATAAACGACTAAAGCGTCGCATTTTTTCGCCTGTTAACACAACGCTTTGACTTTAGATAGTTGGAAAAAAGGAAGAAACCTAGAAACAAAAAAAAATTAAAAAATAAGAAAA